CATCCTTTAAGCAGATGCACTTAAAACTTACTTGAAAGATTTTTTCACACTGTGCTTGTGCCAGTTTTTTTTTTGTTTTTGCACTGGCAGATAGCCAGCAAAATAGGGCCTGAGACTTCAAGTTGGAGTAATGAGTTTCATTTAAAAAAAAAACATTGATACAAAAAATGTTTATTGTGTGTCTTAAAAAAATAGTGCTTTGTTTAATGATTTCATCTTTCCTAAAGACTTTTTTTGTTGCTAGTTCTTGTAATTTTTTTACTTGTGCTACTGAAAGCCATTGTATAGATAGCTGGAAACAGATTCAAAAAGCTTACTAGACTAACTTTATCCCTTACCACTTCTAAATGATTCCCAAAGTGTGGCTATCCCAGACCTTCCTGTCTGTTTTTCCAGAAGTGCTCCATTGGATACTAATTCTGCTTCACAATATTTTTCATGATGATGATCATCATGTAAACATGCTGTATTCAAGATGAATTCTAAGCTTTTGTGTATGCCAGTCAAGGATTAGGCTCTTTAGAGAATAGTTCTTTCATGCAGTTGTTCCAATACTCTTGCAGCTCTTCACTGTCATCCTCTCTTCTTTGTTACTGACACTCAGGACTGCAAAGCTTCCCACATTTGTTGTCCCTTTGTTAAATATAAGAAAGTAAAGGGCAAGAATGTAAAGGCACCTATCAATATTAACATCCTTAAGGGAATAAATTTGGATTTAATTATGTTCACTACTGTGTTACCACCATCATGGTATATTGATTATAGTTCTCCTTAGTAGTAATTAGATGACTTTTTTAGTATATACTTATATAAGCCTTAGTTTGTAACTGATAAGGTATTTTACTGATTAGTAATTAGACACAAACAGACAGCATGAAAATGAACGTGGATCATTTTATATTCAATTGACATTTTGGCTCTGTGCACACAATTCCAGAGGGTGGTGTTCAGCACAATATTTATGTGGGCTCTAGACAATATGCAATCACCTGTCTCTGCCTTTGTTTTCATATCAGGAAATATATTTATTCAACAGAACTCTTCAGGATCCTGCAGAAGAAATATACCATATGTTAGCAGTCTCATGGACCACACTGCTCCCTCAGGCTACCAGCAGGTTGAGACAAGAGACAGCTTGCCTGTGTCAAGTGATGATTTCCTGAGGCAGGGACAAAACAACCACCCGTTTAAAGGGAGGCTAAGGGCACCCTGCAGCCCCACAACAATAATATAGTTAATGTCACAACAGAGTACAAAGTACCTTGTTGCTGGGGCAGGCAGTAATTAAGGGCACTGGGCTAATAAGAGACTTAGGCTGCCTGTAAATCCTATCTACTATTTCAGCACAAACTGCATATTCCAAGTTTAGGCATCCAAATCACAGAGTTTTTGAGTTAAAACCTTAATCTGCCACTTTAGCAGTCCTAACAGAAATCCTTCTTCACCTTTTCCCTCACCAGAGCATGACAAGAATTTAGGGCACATACTAGAGCCTCAGGGGCTGCAGCCAGCAGAGGGCACAGATGACACATGCAGACACTGGTGGGTATCTCACTAAAAAGTTCAACACGGTTTTCTGTTCCCTTCAGCAATGCAGCAGCTTGACTCTGGCCTACAAAAAGAGAAGTTGACTAGTCATTCCCTAATGTAGTGCCTCACTAGTAGAAGTAACTGATTCTACAGGTTTTTTTTCCCGAAACATCTGGTATATCAGGACAAACCTGAATATACCAGTGAGACATTACTTCTTCTCATGCTCTCTTCTCTGGAGATTTCAGTCAGCTGAAAGCTTCTTCTCCTTAAGAGCTGCCCAGGGAGGAGGCCGAATCACCATCCCTGGAAGCATTCAAGAAATAACTAAATGTGGCACTTAGTGCTATGGTCTAGTTTACAAGGTGGTGATCACTCAAAGGTTGGACTTGATGATCTTGGATGTCTTTTCCAATCATAATCATTCTATGATCTTCAGCTGTTTAGTGAATTTTCAGGCATTTTAGTGAATGAATGCTTAAAATACAGATTTGGGGTTCAATCTCTTTGGTAGTGCTCTGAACTACAAATCTGAGTCTCAAACACGTCGTTTCTCCCCAAATGTGAAAGATCTGGATATGCAGTGTTGGTTGAAGTCATTTTGCTGACCATGTGTTTATTGCATCCCCACCATTGCTACCTGAAATGTAGGATACACTTTTATAAATTTTTATAGCACAAATAAGTCTCTGCAACGAGTAAGCTGCTTTGCTATCCCTTCAGAGTACTTGGAAGACTCAACAAGCTGGGTGCTGCATGGTCCCATAATACTGCTAAAATGGTCCTGCAGTGTGTAAAACTCAGTAGAAAAGACAGAAAACTAAAATACTTTATCAATGGTTAAATGTTTCCCAGAAAGGTTAAGTGGCTTGTCTGTCTACAGCAACACAGGATAACAGAATAGCTTTTAGCTATGAAAACAAATGTCCTCTGAGCTGCTAATTCTAGCAAGGCAGCAATATGCTTAGGTACAATATTATATTACCAAAGAGTCTGTAAAATAAAGAATTACTTTTATAATCATGCAGTTTTGCAAAAGATATAACAGATAGAACAATATAATAGGACTTTAAACTTGGACAAACCCCTGAGACATTATAGAAAACTTCAATCATTGTACAACTGAATTAATGTTTTAGAATTTATCTGTGCATCTTCTGCCAGCCTGTTATGAGGATATGCCTGTAATATCTTTTTTCAGTGTTACTATATCTACAATTCATTGTTAAGTAAACTTCCAGCACTACTTTTAAGTAAACTTCGAACACTGAGTCAAGCAGTAAAAATTTAATATTTCTTGCAAAAATAGGGACTGCTGAATTTTATGTGAGTTGTCTTCCATGTTGTAATCAGAGCCACTTCATTCCCAGAAATCACTCTCACAAATGGACTGTCTTTATTTTACACATCACCAGATGAGGAGAGATGGGGGAAATTCTTATATTTATCAGTTTTAAGGCAACTAGAAACATTTCACCTATTCACCCAAAATTCAGTAACTGCTTTGGCCAAAACAAGTTTTTAAAATTGCAAGATACATAGCAGAAAAATGAAAGTTTAGTGATTTGCCTTTGAGTTATTTCCCAGTCCAACCAGAATAAATCACTTCACCAACTTTTCCACTCATTTCCCCAGTGAATTCCCCATTTAGTTGTAGTGTAAATGGTAAACTGGCCAAAACATTTGTGACTGCTGCTGAGGATGCACCTACGTGTGGAGCAGCCATCTGGCTGCTGCTCAGAGACAAGTAAACCAGCAGAGTTCTGCTACACTCTCCCTCTGTGCAGGATCTGACCTGGTTCCTTTTACTCTGCCACCAATTTTCAAGCAACTTCAAGAGCTATATCATGCTTTGAAACTGTCGAAGACATGATCAGTGTCACAGTTTTTAGAAGAGGGGCATTCAAAATTCTGACTCCACCCAAAATACCAATGCTAGGTAACAGCATTAGGAGAAATGGACTACCTGAAGCCAGAACAAAACCTGATGCTACTGGGGAAAAAAAAAAAAAAAAAAAAAAAGAAGTGCCCTCTTTTGTTTATTTGAGACTTGCCACTGAATAGAAAATCTGGACTAAAGTAATCAGACTTAAGAGAAGCAATGAAAAATTATTCCCCAATATTACCATTGGGTGGCAGGGCCAGCTCCAGTGCCCAATTTAATTTTGGAAATGTGCAATTAAATTTATAAGAGTAATAACTCAGTGATTTAAGAATTACACTACTAGCAATTTTGACTGTATCTCAAACCAAGGCATGAAAAAACATGAAGTTTTTCACCTCTACAGCTAGCCCACAACCAACTGCTCTGGGGAGCTTCATGATTTTGTGGTCCAACTGACATAACCAGTGAAGTTTTGTCACCAACTGCATCCTCTAGATTCCTGAATTATGTCTCTAAAAAACCAAGAAAACCAAATTTCAAAATGCTTCGATGATTGTGCCATGTTTCAATAGAAAAGGTATCCACAGTAAAGGTGTATATGCTTTTATACCTGTCCTACATCAACCAATACCACAACTGTGACCTTTCCAGAGCACCAGATTTCAGTTTCAAGTTCTGAGACTGACAAATGGATCCAGAAGCATTAGCTCTGTGTGTATGGGAAAAACAAGCCTTTCTCTAATGCTCTATGGCAAGACGATACTGAATGTTGCTTACTCGGTGCAGGCAGAAGATTCTCGGTGAAGTGGCATGTCTTATCATTGATTACAACACAAAACCACCATCACAAGCATCTCTTGAGCCAAGGAGTCATACTACGGGTGATTTTCCAAAAATTATCACAGGAGAAACCAAATAAAACCATGGTAGGTTCTGGATCTAGAAGCGTGTCACTACACAATGAAGAATTCAAGCAGATTTTCCTGGGAACGGTGGAGGTCCTAGCCTAGGGGTGTGAGAACTGCCACCACCAAACGTGATGAACCTACAAAACCGATGCTGTCAAGCAGCCCAAGCCCAGCAGCTCTCGTAAGGCCTCGGCCCACCTTCGCTGGGTGCTGGATGCTGTAAAGCCCGCCCATGGCAGCAGGACTGTGCCGGGCCGTGCCACCCTTCCACAGCCCAGGGACCAGCTGTTCCCGCACAGGATCCGCGCGGAGTCCGGAGCCGCCCTGCCCTGCCCTGCCCTGCCCCTCCCGCTCCCGCTCCCGCCCCGCGGCTGCATCCCCTCGCTGGGCGCTCAGGGCCGCCCGGCCCCGGCCAGCGCCAGCTCCTCGCAGGGCGCGGCTGCCGCTCTCCGCCCCGGCCCGGCTCGGCTCGGCTCAGCTCGGCCCGGCTCGGCTCAGCTCAGCCCGGTCCGGCCCGGCCCAGCCCCGCCCGGCCCCTCCCCTGTCTGCAGCGGGTGGCGGCGGGAGAAGGGCGGCGGCGGCGCCGTCACGTGAGGCCCTGCCTGGCGCTCGGCTCCCCGCCCAGCCCCGCCGCCGCTGCCGCCGCCAGCCCGGCCCGAGCCCCGCCGCCGCCTCGCCTCGCCTCGCCTCATCTCGCCTCGGCTCCTCCGGCGCTCCCATGCCCAGCAGCGAAGCGGTGCCGCTGGGGCTGGGCGCCTGCCGCAGGTCGGGGGCGCTGGGCGGGATGCTGTCGCTGGTGGCGCGGCTGCTGGAGTGGCTGCGCTCGCTGTTCTGGAAGGAGGAGATGGAGCTCACGCTGGTGGGGCTGCAGTACTCGGGCAAGACCACGCTGCTCACCGTGCTGGCGGTACGCGGCCCCCGGCCCGGGGCAGGGCGGTGCGGAGCGGAGCGGTGCCCACCGGCGGGGCAGGGCCGCGGGGTGCGGCGGGCGCGGCCGCCCGGCGGGGCTGGAGGGGCCGCCCGCCCGCCCGGGGCCGCCGCCCCGCGGCCTTTCCCCGGCAACAAGTGCGGGCTTTGCTGCTGCGGTGATGCCACCGCCTGCCATGAGGTCCCGCGGCGATGCGGTGGGATGTGGTGGGATGCGGAGGGAGACAAGGAAGAAGGGGGGCCGGGCGGGAGAGATCATGAGGCAGCTTTTGCATCGTTGCAACCTCGAGAATTTCACAGCAGGAGGCTAAGATGTGTGTGAAAGTGTTTTCAGAGGGAGGAGGAAGATGTCTTCTGGGTCTGGCTGCAAAGCGTGCCCATCTTGGAGCAGATTCGTGGGCATGGGCCGTGGTTCAGGTTGCCTTTCCATGATCAGTGTATCCCGGAATAATACACCGTGCATCCCTCAAGGCCGCGAGTTGTCCGTTACTGAATTCTCTCCTCCCGGCAGCTGCAGCAATACTAATGCCTCCCACAATTCCTCCATAGCTCTTCCCCAGCATTCAAGTGCAATTCCAGCATTCCGTTCCCCGTCTGGTGATGGCCTTGCAGCCTCCCTAGTGCTGACACCTACCATGACATTTTCTCTTCTGTCACCATGCTGAAATACATTTCTTGTCTTTGTTTGCTGTGCCCTCCAAACTGAATTTGGGTCTATCCCAAAGATTTGCTTTCCATCAAAGGATGGAAATATATACATATTTCCATATGTATATATATGGGTATAACAAATATGTTATATTTGCTTATTACTAATCATGAAGCTTAGTGAAGCATTTCTGCAAGGTGATATCTCTTATTAGGTGTATCACAGCTTCAGCTGCTAGAAGATGAAAATTTCTAGATGTTCTTCAGTCCTTATTGTGAAAAGCTAAAAACTAAACTGGGAGGTGTATGGGTTAAAGTCAGAGATTGAGGCAATGAAAACCTGAGATATGATATTTGGTACTTGCATTTGTATATGATTATAGAATAAGGGAAAAATAAGAGAGTGTGCATTAATGTGAATGATGAAGTGGAGAGAGAGTAGGAGAAAAAGGAATGGCAAGTGTCCAGTGAAAATATGTTTTGGGTGCAATCAGCAATCAATGGAATACACCTGTAGCTGGTATTTTAGTTGGTTTGTCAGGCACACAGGTACTCTTGCTGAGATAGGCCTTGGTGCATTTTATGCCCATTGGAAGTGTTCATTTCCCAAGGGAGGGCCTTGCTGAGGAATGGGGAAAAGGCATGACAAATTACATTGCTTCTTGCATTGTTTTCATGAACAGAGCAGAGAAGAGCACAGCAGCTCAGAGGCCTCAGTAGCTTGTGGTGCCAGACGTTGTGTGTGTAACTGTTTGTCCACTCCCTTGTACTGTACCACCAGTGGAATGGCACTGTAGGTGTTTGGGATGTTATCTTCAACACCAGAGCGCTCCTGTTACTGCAGGTCTGATTTTCCCTGCAGATGTTATTTCTTAAGAGTATTCTACAAGGCATTCATGTTTTGTGACTTAGGGAGGGTCACACATTGCAGGTTTTACAGATTTTGGATCTTCCCATCTGGAGATGACATGCCATGATAATCACCAAAGAAAGGTAGTCGGAGATTTTTGAAAAAAAAAAAAAAATTAGGACAAGGCTAACTAATATTATACATAATAACTGTATATTTAATAACAATAAAATAATATTCATATTAGAATATTAATAATATTTTTCTGTTGAATACCGTTGATATGGCAAACAGATTTAAAACTTTATGTATGTTTGTGAATACATATCCAGAGTGTGACAATGAAAATAGCTGTTGCAAAATAGCGGCTACTTAAAATGCATGCTGCAGAGGATCAAGAAAAAACATTGGAAATGACAATTTTTTCACTTTGCAAGAGCACTCAGAGATCCTATCATGCTAAGACTGAATATATACCCTTTGAGACAGTCTCTGCTCTTCAGAGTTTGAGCCATATTTAGTCCTTAGCTACCAGTGGAAACCTTGGATAAAGTCACTGCCTTGTACTGTGGATATGCATTGATACAATGGAGTAGAATCTGGTCCATGATTGTTGATATGGCAGGGGGTAATGACACTGTTCATTATCAGCTCAATATTCAAAAACTTTTGGAGGACATTACAAACTTCTTAGCATCAGTTATTTTTCATTTGTGTCAGGAGGTAATCTGTTTTTATTGAAATATGACAATAAAGTTTTTTGCACTTCTTAAATATTCACAAAAATAGCCAATTTTAGGTCATGCAACCTTCCTTAGCAAGCACAGTAGTACAGACTTTTTACTTTATGGCGGTCAGGTCATTACAACACAGTAAACAGCTCTTGAACTAAGTTGAGCAAACAATTGAACCTATTCCTGTCTTTTCTTCACTGTGTGGAAAAATAAAAATCTGTAGACATATTACTTTCTTTGTATCTGATTCCCTTCAAACAGAATGGGGAATTTTTAGAGCAAAAGACTGAAGACCAATGAAGAGCATGTTAATTCTTTACATTCTATCCCCAATACTAGAGGAGTTATGGTGGTTTGGTTTTTTTATTTATTTTTTGTCTTCCAGTTTAGTATATTACAGATGATGTATAATTTGCTGACAAAAGTAGAATTTTGACTTTCTAAAGCCTCCTGAATTAACTCAGATTTTTCAGGCATTCCTGTCCTTGAGTAATGATGCTACATTTTCAGTGTTTATATGTTCATATGTGTTTATACATCAGTCCTCCACAAATACAGGTACTACATATTTTTAAAAAAATCATATAATTACAGAATCATTAAGATTGGAAAAGAACTGAAACAGCATCAAATCCAACATTTGACCAAACACCACCCTGTCAACTAAGTCATAGCACAAAGTGCCACATCCAGTCCATTCTTGAACGCTTCCGGGGATGGTGACTCCACCATTTTCCTGAACAGACCAGTACCTGATACACAAGAGGGTTTACTGGTTGGCTTTGTCTTACTACATCCAGCTAAAAACTTCTGTCAGTGCTGGGTATGTGCATCTGTGTGAAACTGCATGGGCTTTTATTTTCACTTTATTTTTCCTACTGCTGTTGACAAGTTACTGATGCAGGGAGGAAAAAGACAAAAGATGATGAAGATGTATAGTACAGAATTTAGCAAGAAGATTCCCATAAGTAAGGTTGAACAAACAACTGATGGGAGTTGTTTCTTTCCTCAAGGATCTAACTCCAAAATCTTGTGAGACAATCATGTAATTGTCAAAAGTTACACAGCTTTTAAAGCCCCAGATTAAAAATTGTTAAGCTTTAATTGTAAATGCAAACTGGAGGCTGAGCGTATTCTCACTCCACAAACAGGAAAGAGAAAAGTTTCAGAACTTGTACAGATCCCAGGAATAGCCCTGGAGGGGTAGACTGAGAGATACATTGCTGTTCCAGTGCTCCTTCAAGCTCTGATACTCCATTTCTCAGATGAGAGGGAACTGATGGAACATGGCTGCATCCTGCTTTGTCCATATACCCATATTTTCTTCAAAACAAACCCCCCAAAACAACTAACAACCTAGGGCACAAGGGTTGATAGGTAAATATGGGCTGATAGATGTGGGAGGGCAGTGGCAGGCCCAGAAGGTGCTGCTTTCCTTGCGGGATGATTGGAAAACCAGGATTGCTGTGTCTGTTTCAGAGAGCACCTGGGCCTCTGTATGGACATAAGTAACATTCTGCCTGTTGCTGTGTTGTGTCCAGGAGACACAATAGCTTGTTAATGCTGCATTTTCAAAAGGAAGAATGAGTGATGAGTTTCCTACTCAGATCTGAATTCTGTCTTAATCCTCAAAAGGTGTCTTCTGTAGTGTGTAGAAGTCTGTAAGATTTACATTGGTTTGATGAGAAGTGTCTCTGTTGTGAAAATATTTCTCAAACTGGGGGAGAAGGCAGCATTTTTGTGTTGGGGGTGTATGTTTGGGGTTTATGGCACACTGAGTTGGCACCTTGTACTTTTCTGTCTTAATGGCATTCTCTTAGCTCTGCAGCAGGATTCCTCTGCTGTCACCGACGCAGAAGGAACAAGTCTGCACATAGTACTCTCAGAATGGGTAGTTCTTCACTATTTTTAAATTTGGAGTTAAACTACTGGTAACAGTAGTAAGAAACTACAGGAAAAATCATGGTGTAGCCAGTTTTATAATATTTTATCATACTGGGGGTAGGACTAGGTGACCTTTGAAGGTTTCTTTCAACTCAAATCATCCTACAATTCTGTATTTTGGCTGTGCTGCCAAAGGATCAGATAAAGAATTATCTGAAGTCTCGTGGTTTCTGGGGTGATCTTTGTTGCTGAAGAGAATAAAAGATCATTTAAAGGGACTGAGATGAACAGTCTTCCATGATGCGACAATGCAGTAATTGAAGTGCTGGCCAGTGCTCTTGCTGAAAATGAATGTGATAATTTACAGTATTGTAAAATAACATTTTTTAGATTGCAAATGAGAACCTTTCTTGTACATATCAACTGTTTTATAACAAATACTATTTTGATTTTATATTCCAGTCGGGGCAGTTCACAGAAGATATGATTCCTACAGTAGGCTTCAATATGAGAAAAATAACAAAAGGCAATGTTACCATAAAGGTAGGTGTGCATGTTTGAATTGATACAGAGTGAATAAATAATAGAGTAATTTCAACTGGAAATATGAAAGACAGGAAATTTATTTTAAGATTATAGGGTCTCTTACCGGTTTTTCTTGCTCCAGACTAACTTTTTTAAAAACAATAGTAATATATATCTCTGTTATATTAATCTGTGTGATTTCATTGTATTCCATGCCAGTCAGAAGCTTTGTTGCACTTTTTTGATTTAGGAAGGTCATAAACTGTGGAGATACTGAGTTAGCTGAGTTGACTCCTGGGGATATATCTATCTTCTCTCTTCCCCTTCCCCCCTCCTCCCAACTGTAAGTAAAATCTGGAGCAACTTGACTCCTAACTTAGGTATCTCAGTGGAGAGTGTGGTTTAGCTCACATGCTAGCTATGCTGAAATAGAATATCTATCTTAAATCAGTTATCAGAGAATCATCTCTGACAGCTCTAGAGACACATAGGCATCAAAATAGAGATAAATCACTCCGGTAGCATTAAGACACTGCTGTTGTTTGATTATGAAGGGAGCCTGGTTGATTAATCTTGATGAAATTCACAACTTCTAGCTAAATTAGATCAAGGGAATCTGGATTTTTGTCTTTACCTTGACTTTTCCCTCCTTTTCCATAATATGTAAGTTCTTGTCTCCCTCAGTTCTAGAGTTACTCTTCCTCTGGTCTGGCATGATTCCTAAACCACTGATCAAATTCCAGAGGTGCCATGGTCAATAAAAAAGTTACTGCATTCAGCCATAGTTGATAAATAATCCACAGGAATAGGAGTTTCCTTTGTTTTTTTTCTTTTGCACAGAAGCAATGAGGCCATGATTAATAGAGAGAAAACATAAGGTGTAGTTGGAGGGGTGGTGTACCAATGCTGCTGCAGAATTGTCAGATGTAGAAGAAAACAGAAAAGTTGTTGATGGTTCATTAAACTAGGCAAAAATCTTTTACTAGTAAGCAGTTGTCAAGATAAAGTATTTTTTGAGCCAGGATAGTTCAGAAGGAACTGACTAATAGTTTATACCAGGGTATAAATGAGCAAATGATGTTGCAAGATTAAGTTATGCAGAGAGGGTGTGGGTGAGTTTCTGTGGAACTGTGCCTTGTTTTACTCTTTGATCTCAACAGTAATTTTATATGTAGTTGCTATTATAGGTATTTTAAGAATAAGGAGATAATGCTAACAGAATGAATATGTTTATTAGTTTCAAAAAACATATTTAATTTGGAAGCCAGTCTCCATAGGACGATATCTTGACTCATTCTCACAGTCTCTCTGCTACAACAGCATTCAGTGCAAGGGGGGGGTGGAGGGGAATATGACTCTTAGGCATAGATGCTTATTTCCTTAAGAGTCTGTCAGGATAAACTACTTGTATGTCACTATTCCTGTATCTAGGTTAGAATCTTACAGGTTATTGCTAGATAAGGTTTCTAAAATTATTTTACTTAGAGAAAAATGACATTAATCTTCTGATAAGTTGGTGACTCAAGAATGATGGGGCAGTGCCTCTTGCTAGAACCCTTTTATGAACAATTTGCAGCCCTGTAGCAAGAATTCACAGTAAATTTTTCTTTAGCCTTTTTATCCCAACAAAATAGGTAACCCTTCTCACAGAAATATTATGATATTCAACTGTCAGCTATTAAAATTAATGGATGAATTATTATTTTACTAAACCCATGAAGTTCTTTAAACATGACAGAAATGTTGTTTATGCTAAGCAAAGACCTGACATTGTGTCTGACCTTTTTTGAAGGTTTCATGATTCTGCAAAACAGAATCAATTAAACTTACTATAAAGTTCAGGCTGAGAAGTCAGCTGGGTCAAAAAGTCATCAGGTTAAAAATTGGCATTCTAGAAGTATTAAGATTGATCACTTTTGGAAAAGTAAGTTGCAAACCCAGCAATTAGGTGATACTAATCCTTTATCTGTTTTTTGCTCTACCTTGGGGTAGGCCACTAAGAAGGAAGTATTATGCTAGTGCAGTGTCACTGCCTGGTTTCTTTACTTCAGTTCTATCTGCAGATTCCACACAATTCCATAAGGCAGAAAGACCCATGGTTTGGCAGTCATTTCCAAAAGCTGGTAGATTTATTCTCATTTTTAGTCTCTAATCTTAATGTGTAAATGTATGGTCACTGGTGTGTGTGTGTATGTGTATTTATCTGAACCACCCTAAAAGAAAAACACTGATTATTTACTTGAGACAAAACATTTTGTAGGAAGATGCCAGTTTCAGATGTTCTCGAATTGAAGCTAAACCTGTTTAGAAATGTAAGGCTGTCAGCTTTAACCATGAATTGTCAAATTTTGACTTATCAATATGTTTAATAACCTGTCACCTGTTACTTCCAAGAAGAGAAGGCAATAAAGGAAGGATTTTGCCACACAGTGTTTGAAATCTAAGCAGGGAGCTTTATATTTTGAGGTTGTGGTTGAGGTATTGAGGTACAGGATGATTTCTAGCATCAAAGTATTTAATATACTGCAATGTAGGGATCTGCTAGAACTATTCTATTGAAGTTCATTACAGGACTGATGGCTATATTTTTTTCCCTGAGAAAAATATCTGACTGAAGTGCTTTGAGATTTTAACTCCAAACAAGTTTTTCTGTTTGGTGAGTGATTTGATTTGATTTTGATGTTTTTTCTGGATCTGCTTGGTAGCAGTCCTTTTGCTTAGGTGAGATTTACTGTTCAACGAGCTAGACAGCAATTAAAAAATTTACTTTAGCAAGCCAAGATTTAAGAACCTCAGAAGACTTGAATTGTGAACTGCTGTTTAAAGTGATTGGGAATCTCCAGCCTAGCAGCCTTTGGTTTTTGCAGCAATGGTCTTAGAGCAGTCTCGGTTAAAAGGAAATAGAGCACCACAGACGTGTGTATGCACAGATAATGCCACAGATTCAATTCCCTTGCTCTTGCATTGGTTTTTCTTAAAACAGCATGGCCAGGCAGATTCTGCGCTTCCCGGCCCTAGTGGTCCGGAGGGAGTGGAGAGCAGGTGCTCAGGGTGCTGGGGCTGGCGCTGGGCTGTGGTCACCCCGGCTGTCACCGCTAGGTGCCGGTGTCCCTCCACCGCAGCCTGCACAGCCTGCCTGCCGGAGAGCAAGGCTGCGCTTCCTGCTGCTTGCACTTGGCTCTGGAGAGGCAGAGAGGCAGGAGAAGGATACCGGCTCTGTGCATTCCTCTGCCAGCTTCCTTTGTTGCAGCACTCCTGCTCTGGACAGAGGTGTTTTCAGGTCTCTATGCATCCTCACAGAAGCAGAATCCTCCTGCTTTGTAATGCTTCCTCCTACTAGTTAGGATTTCTTACCTGTCACATTGTCATTTCAAATGCCATGCAGTAATACAAGCTTAGGTGTGTACTCTGAGTGTAGCTCCAGCAGTGTTTCAGCACATACTGGCTATTCTGTATGACTTGGATCACTCTGAAGAAGCTGTGCTGTGTCTGGCCTGATTTCAAGACAAAGTGATTATTTCTGTAAAAAAAGAATTTTTGCTGGATGTCCCAGTGTTTAATGGTAGTTGTCTGTAAGGAAGAGCTGTATTGGTGGTTCAAAAGGGCTGTGATCCACAGCAGGAAGCCCAGTTGCTGGTGCTAAATCCTAGGGATTGTTTAGTGTGTTCATTAGTGACCTGGCTGGTGGGACAGGGTGCACCTTCCACAAGTTTGCTGGTAGTACAAAACTGGCAGGAGTGGCTGGTGCAGCAGAGGGTTCTGCTGCCATCCAGAAGGACCTTGACAGGCGAGAGAAATAGACTGGTAGGACCCTTAGGAGGTTATGGAAGCACAAGGACTTTGCTTTTGTGTTCTGTTGATCCTTCTGGAGTTGTGTTTTGTGTCTTATAAAATGGCAAATAGCCCCTGATCACTTAGAAATACTCCCTCCCATTAAAATGCCTCTGTGCTTGTTGTCAAGAGTTGAAGACACTTTGTGAACATTTTCTCTTGCAATTCTATTTCCAGTTCTTCAGTGAAAATATTATGATTAAATTATGAACATTGAAACATGCATATAGTTTTTTTCTTTTATTTGATGTGATTAAAATGCCTAAATGCTGTGTTTAAAAGTTGGACTTTATGACCAGGGAGGAGGGAGAACAGAGTTCTTTAAAGGGCCAAGACTGATTTCAAAGAACATACTGCTCCGAGAAATATTGCCTGCAGAAAATGTAACCACATTGCACATTTTTTTGACTCTTAAGGGCGACTATGAAGGCATTTCCAATATCTAGGATAACAATTAGTAAGTATTCTAAAGTAGTAAGGTATTCTAACTTCCATATTAAGTTACATGGCTGGTAGGTACTACAGGTCAGGCTGTGTAGATTTGTATATACAGGGCAATTTATTAAAGAAAATAAGCTTATTAGGTTTTTTATTCTTCTGTTTATTAGGCAAAAAAAAAAGATATTTTTGGTTGAAGATTCCAGTCTAGAATAGGTGATTGTTTAGGATTTGTCCCTCATGAGCTTAGCCAGGCACTGAGTAACCCAGCCTGAGCCAGTTGTCTGAACTTGCTGGGGAGCAGTGGGTGCTTCACCAGGTAGCTAAGGTGGGTGCAACAAAAAAAAATTTCCTGCTATTGGTGCCTTCTGAGCACTTCAGTAGTCAAAGAGAAATTTTGGTCACCTGGATTAAATGCCTAAATTTTAGGTGATTGAAGTTGTCCCATGCTTTCCAGTTGCTCGCGATTACACACTGAGTTGGCCGTGAGTGCAATGACTGCTGTGTATGTGTGAGCTCACTGGTCACATCTTAGGCTTCTCTGTGTACATTGTGGTAGTGAATGTTACTGGTGCTGCCTTATTCTGTCCAAATACTCCTCTCTGCTTAACAAATTCCTCACCTGTTTGTTTAGGTTAGGTTTTATGGCTTATACTTTTTGCATACTTCCAAGAGGAAAGATACATTTCCAAGTTCAAATATTTGCAGTGTTGGATTCATCTTGCAGGTTGAGATGTCTGCATGTAAACAGCTATATGTCTGCAGTGAGGCTTAAGCTCTTTTAATAATAGTCAGAGGAGCTGTCATCAGTGCTGTCAAGCCTAGAGCATAATTCTGTCATCCTAAACAAGATGTTATATCTGATCAGCTGAAAGGCTGTCTAGACTTTGCTGACTACTGTGAGATTGTAGGTACTGAACCCACACACTGACATCAAGATAGAAATTTGTCATTGTAATCTCTGTCCACAAGAAATCTCCTACCCAGCATATCTGAAAAAAGCCATGCAACATGACATCTAGAAAACGCTTTTCCTGCAACTTCCTCATGAACCATCAAGCCTTCCCACAATATGAGCTAATTTGAAGAAACACAGCTAGAGTGTTAATGAACCTTCTGGTAACGGAAAGCTCTCAAAAATCTTTGAACCTATTCATGTGCATTTTTGCTCAACTGCCATGATAGAGCTCTGTGCAAAAGAAAAGGATCTGCTCCTTAAACACAGCTAATAGCTACAGTCTTAAGATGGAGCCTTCGATCCTCCTGAAAGAATTGGAAAGAGATAAATCCAAAGTTTCCTCTTTTAGAAGAATTCAATGTATCTCAGGTAAGTACATGGTAAACAGTGGTTCCATCCTGGTGATCTAGTTTACAGATTAAAACATTGCACTAATTTATGACACTCTAGACCTGCAAGTACAATAAGAATTACTACACTACAGAAGTAGATAGGAATGAATAAAACAGATTAAGATGCAGTACCAACAAGATATGTGCCTTTGAGATTGAGCCTGAGCAACAAATCCTTGAGATTTTAATCTCCTGTGAGGCAATGTACTGTGTATCAAAAGAAACTTTCTCTCAATTTGGTCATTCTGTAATCTTTGCTGATTCTTAAAATCACAATTTTATCAATCGGAGTAAAATTACGTTTAAATATTATGAAACTTTTATTCCTGAGGGGCCAGTAAAAGCCATGGGAGGAATTTGAAGACCAGCGTCTTTTAAAAAGCAACCAGACAAAGTAAAGTTCTTGTTATAGCTAGCTGTAGGTTCAGCTGTTAAGGTTTAGTCTCCTGCCTATCCCCATTCATACCCAGAACATACTTTTTACCTGTGTATTAAATTCTGGGATGCAAAAATAGTTGATACACAAAACATGCAAGGCTCCTGCAAGAAAACTTCTTTAACACTAAGACCTCTCCCCTTTCCTTCCTGGATATCTCTTGTATTCTCACAGTTCTCTCTGTTCAGCCGTGTACTACGAAAATGGTTTGGTGCAGCAATTTGTGTTTTGAATTAAGTAGTTAACTCTTTCTATGGCTATTCAATATAATAAAGAGTATTAGAAAGTTACTATTAAAACCATTTTGATTTCAAAGAGAAAGAAGGATTTTTTTTAATTTAATGCATTTTTTTCATATATCACATAATTATTACTATGTTGATGTAAATTTGGTTCTAAAGCTCTGTTAAAGACACCTAGTCTATATTGTGTCCTTCATGTTGTACTTTAATGAATAGTTGTAAGCCTGATTAGGGAAACTGACTGGAAATGACTTATCTTTCCATTGTTTCAAGGTGACTTTTTCTCCTAATGAGAGTAATCTTGTTCTGCAGTGCAATTTAATACTGCAAGATATGTCATCAAGCAAGGACAAACCCAGGATTTTTTATCTTGTATTATTTATTTTGTGATTAGTCCATGCTACATCATCTTGTAGATTTTCATGGCTATCAGAATTCCAAAAATCTAATCTGACTACTAGTCTGCCTTATCATCTTTCCCTTTTTTTTTTCCTCTGCTCTACCAAGAAAATAATGTAGTTTCTTTTTCAAGACATGCAGATGTGCACCAGATGGCTTTGGATAGTTTCAAGGTCTTGATGAGTTATTGGAGTAATTAGTGTTGGTGTAAGTTTTGTCACCTAACCATAATGCTGAATACTCATTACATTCAAGCTTTTAAAGTATAAAGGTTTATTTTACTAAGACCTTTGGTACAGTGCTTCAAATGTCAGTACAGATATTAATTGATACCCACTTCATGATTAGAAGCTCTTTCATGTGTAAAATTTTTTGATCTTATTCAGGGGATCAAAAAGCACTCTACATTTAGGTGATACAATAATTTTATGTTGGAAGGACTGTTAAGATATCAATCAGGGAATTATTTTTATTGGTTAATTGGGAAATACTTCTTTCTAAAATAAGAATATAAGATATTGAAAATGATATAGAAATTTATACATAAAAATTATTTACAGGCTGTGAAATTAAAAAATAGTGGACATTAATTGAAAAAGGGCTTACCCCATGGCTCTGTGAAACCTTGCTCTTTTGTGAAAAGCTTTGTTGCCACAGAAGGCATAATTTGGATTTATAGGGTAAATGTGAGGACAACTCTTTAAAAAATTTGTTCTTTATATATTACTTCCAAATTCAGTTGCTTCTGTAATATATATGCCTCCTAGATCTGGTATACAGTATATATTGTTTTGATAGCTAAATCTGCTTAAAATAAGAAATAATTACTTCTCTTTGTCCTTGGCAGAGGAACAAATCCATTACTTTTATTTTTCAGTGTTCATCAGTGTCTTAATCTGTGTGTCACTTGTAACAGGACTGTCTTTGGATGTAGCTGTAACAGATACGTTACCATGTAGCCCTGACCTGTGTGATGTGTATATGGTATCTGCTACTTTGATCTGAGAAACAGTTTTGAAACAACATACTGTCATCCACCAAAAATACCAATTGTTTTGCAAGTAAAGCAAAATACGTAATTCCTGTACAGAAAAATAGTGTGTTAATGTTTTAACAAATTTAGGAATTCCATGGGGTTGCTGGGCACTAATAGCATGTGTAAGTATTTATAGGATTTGAGCTTTTGTAATAGGATAAGCAGAATTTGAGCTTTCTTTCTTTAAGAAACATTGCTTAATCACTTCAGGCCTACCTATACTACTGTTTCCTTTTTGGTTCTGATTAATTAATCCTAAATGTGTCTGTTAAAGCACATTTGTTGAACCAGTTGGAGAACTGTGGAGGTAGTGGAGCTCCTTGGAGTGGGGAGCATCATCCCTTATGTGGATTCAGTCTGCTCTCTGACCAACTCTTTGTTTATTTACTATCTGTCTTTATTCTTTTAAAAATCTGATACCTTCTTAACTCAGGTCTCCCTAGCCACATTAAATATTAACCTGCATAATTGTTTCATACAATGATGATAGTCTTTTTTGTTTTGAGACTGTGCATTTGCAATAATTCACTTCAGTATCTAAGTAAGACTTTTCTTTCAGTGAGGGGGAAAGGGTAACATTCTCCAAAAAACATTTGGAGCTTTTAGTGTCACAGGCCTGACATACTTACTCTGTGAATGTGCATGTCCTCTTCCATTAGCTAGAAGGCGCCAAGAAGACCTTTTAATAAAATTTTGGAATTGGCAATGCAACCTGCATGCTGCATGTAAGAGTTAATTTATTCTGTTGGATTAGGGCTATGTAGTTAAAAAGTGTTTTGAGGCTGGAGTGTTTGTACCTTTTCAGGTGTGGGACATTGGAGGACAGCCAAGGTTTCGAAGCATGTGGGAGCGTTACTGCAGAGGAGTCAATGCAGTTGTGTAAGTTTTCTTTTGTATGTCCATAGAAAATGTTCTTTGTAATATATATTATTGTAAAATTAGGTATTACATTATATCACACATAAAGAAAATAGATTTTTTTTTTCTGTCCACCTCCATCACATAAGAAGACCCATATAATAAAAGTAGTGTGTTTTGCACGTGCAGCAATCCAGACATGTAAGTAATTGCATATTCCAGGCCATTTTCCCCCCACAGGCTGTATTTAACAGCCTAAATCTGTTATCTTCCTGTATCAATATCTTCCTGTATCAATAAATGCAGGACTTACACAACTTTGGACTTTTCTAATGCTCTTGTCAATATCAACATGTTTGTCACATTTCAGATGTTTTAATGCAAATTCATGCAGTTAATGGTCAATACCATAAATAACTATATTTTGTTGCAGTTACATGGTGGATGCAGCAGACTTAGAAAAAGTAGAAGCTTCAAAGAATGAGCTTCACAGTTTGATAGATAAGCCACAATTGCATGGAATTCCAGTAAGTATTTTCCTTATTATTCTTACCTGAATGTTGACAGTGGCCTAAATCCTCCTGTGTTGGTTTCTCTGGTCTCTTAAAAATACTAGGTTATATAGTGAGCACTCTTAGAAAAATTACTGTGATTTTTTTCTCATAGTACTCAACAACTTAGGAGTGCTGCTTTGTGTTTGTACATTTTCTTGTCTAAAGATGAGAATAGATTTCAAAAATTTGTGTTTTCATGTGTTGCATTATCAGACAGTAATGACTTCCAGTCAGTCCCTTGTTGGCTGGGTTTCAGCAGTGACCCAGGTATGTTTCTGGCAGTTATCTTATGGCATGTGAGATCAATATTTCTGCAGGTTGGCAGACAGTAACATCAACTAGTGTCCTCTGCCTCCAGAGATTGTGAAGGAGCTTTTTTTATTTGTCCTTACTTTTTCTTGACTTAGTATTTCAAACTAAATTGTGTGGAAAAAATGCAAATATACATCTGTTCTCTAGTTGGAAGTGTCAAAGAATAGTGTATTCAGCTGAAATTCTAATGAGGAATACAAAGGTGGAGACTTATGTTGTTTACTTTAATGTAATCTGCCAATTTAGGAATCCATCAGGTTGCCATTGGTCTATGTTGACATCACCAAACAAGAGTTCATACCTTGATTATAAGAAAGAAAACAGTCCCACATACAAATGAGGAAGAAATAACTCACAACTTGATGGCTATTCCTTGGCTCCGTTTTTTGTAAGCAGTAGTTTGGACACTTGGCCACTACAAGTAATCAAAGTTACCTGAGGGTGAGTGGACAGTGTAAGGCCTAAAGAATGCACTTGAAGTGTGTCAAAACACTGTCAAAGCCACAGAAGAAACTTCCCATAAGATAAGCCAGATCAGGAGGAGCATGAGATAAGCACAGATGCCACAGCAGGCAGGAGCTAATTCCAGCCTAATGGAGCATCTAAACATGCTGCCTCTCTGGATGTTGCCACCATGGCAAACTATGGGAAAGGAAGTGTTTTACACATGCCATCAGGTATGGGAATGGCATCTACACCCATGGATACCTGAGACTTGGTCTGTATAAAAATGGTACCTTCAGCATGCAGTCAGTCTCCCTCTCTCTCTCTCTCTCTCTCCTTTCCTCCCACTATTCTCAAATGAGAGTTTTTCAAGAGATTCACCGTCTTTTTTATAAGGTTTGCTCTTTTTGTTGTGATTTTGTATGTTAATTATCTATTGAAAAAATCCTGCAGAAATGGATAGTTATGCTGCTCATGGGGAGTGACATTGCCTGTCCTTTGCGCTCTCTTTGCTTGCTCTTTTGCTTCTCACTTTTCCTTACTGAAATGATTGGTCTCTCATATCTTCAGTAGTATTTAATTAAGTTCCTTGCCTCTTATATGTTATAATATCACATTCCAAATCCCCAGCCTGACCCACACAGTAATTTCCAAGGTGCAGTGATGTATTTTTTACTTACTTTTATTTCATATGTAGTAATTAGTATTGAACTTCCTTCAATTTATTGTGCTCAGGATTTGGCACTATAGATTTTAGAGCAACTTTATTAATCTGGACTCTAAATTACTGCAAGTAATGACTTTAATATGTTCCAGATTCATGGGATATAATGGGACAGTCTTAGAATTGTAGCACATCTGGAAAATAATAAAATGCAACCATAACTAGAAATACCTTCCATTGCTTACTTTATCTTAGAATGTGCTCAACCCATTTATCTGACCTTCATTTATACTTGAAGCCTTAAACAGGAACTCTGAAGTTCCAGCATCTATTCAGTAAATTTTCTGTATTTCATGGACTTAATTCCCAGTGTCTGCCTTCAGATTTCAACCATGGATGCTCAAATTGGACATAGGGGTGGCTGGTGCCCAGGTGATACTTGGTTTGTAGGCTGAGCTGTTGAGTGCATCAGTGTTAAGAGACAAGAGAGGAAAAGAACATAGAAAGAATTTTTTCTGGGTCTTTAGGACCAGCCTCTGCTGCTGAGGCCCTACTTTTGATTAACATCAGTCTGTCCTCTGAATTAAATATCCTTTGGTGGCTTGAGTGCACCTGATGCATGCTGGCTTCCAAATTTCTTTGCATTTAATCTGATACCATCCTGTAATGCCACCCAGTATGGAGTGATTCACTTCCAGAGAGACTTTTGATACTAACACACCCAGAAATAATTCAATCCAGTTTTCAGAGGGTATACATCCAGCATCTGGTCCTGACTAGGTGCAGGATTTCCATGATGTTCCCACAGTCATTGATAATTTTGAATATATCCTCCATTTTAAATAGCTGCAAGATCCAGAATAATGCCAACAAAAAGTTACAGACCAAAATAAACTTTTGTTGCTCCTGGATTTAATAGGTATATGAATTATTTCTTTCAGGTGTTAGTTCTTGGAAATAAACGAGACCTCCCAGGTGCACTGGATGAGAAGCAGTTAATTGAGAAGTTGTAAGTAGCTGGCTTTTGTAAAAAGCTGAGACACTTTGAAGTTTGATATGTAAGTCAAAATTATTGGTAGTCTGTGACAATAGCTGGCTATAAAAGATGCTATTTTGCATGCTCAGATATTCCACTTTGAGCTCTGCTGGCGCCTGATGTAGTGATCTAGGCTGATAACTGACCACAGTAGATTTGAATCTCTCTTGATTGTTGTTTGGTTGTGTGAAGTTATTTCAGATAATCCTGTGTTCCCATCACTGAGGAAAGAACTGCTAGGGATACTGAAAGGGTCATTTTGACTTCTTGCAGTACAATGCAGTGTCAGTTTAATGCCTGAATGGCATTAGAACAGAGCCATATCAATCTTGTTATGGTAAATTTAAGCAAGTCAGGTATTTTTGCCAAATATCCAAAGCATAATTTAGGGATTACTGAAAGTAACAAATTGATGCATAGTAAATGTAATTGTAAAGAAAATATACTATTTTGTAAAAATGACCAGTATAGTACTAATTCTGTAAAATTGGATTCCCACGTCACATAATTTTAATTAGTGTGAAAGTGAAGTTTTGCTGTAGTAAGGCTGGTCCAAAGACTGGGCTACTAAACTGGGGCTCTTAGAATGGCTGAGGTTGGAAGGAACCTTGAAGTCATCTACCTCTGCTCAAGCAGAGACTTTTGCCCATTGGAGCTGCTTGCTCTGTACCATGTCCAGACAGCTTTTGAACATCTCCAAGGATGGAGACTTTGCAGCCTCTCTGGGCAGCCTTTGCTAGTGCTTGGTCACTCTCAGAGCTAAAAAGTGTTTCTGTGCGTTCAGAGAGAGCTTCCTGTGTTTCAATTTGTGGCCATTGCCTCTTGTCACATCACTGGGCTCCATCTTCTTTACAGGCTCCCTTCAGATTTTTGTACACATTAATAAGAAGTTCTCTAAGCCTTTTCTTCTCTAGGCTAAACAGTCCCAGCTCTTCAGTCTTTCTCTTAGTATGTGAGTTGCTCATTAGTTTAGTTGTCCTTTGTTGGGCCCTGTTCCATAGATTCATATCCCTCTTGTACTGATGGTCCACAGCTGGTCAGGTACAGCCTTCCTGGTGCTGAGTAAAAGGGAAGGTTCACCTCCCTTCAGCCTGCTGGCAGCACTCCTAGTGCACCCCAGAATACCATTAGCATTTTTACCACACTGCTTGATGGTGTTCAACCTGGGGACCCACCAAGGCTCCCAGGTCCTTTCCTGCAAAGCTGCTTTTCCAGACAGTTGGCATTTCACCTGTCCTGGTGCCTGGGGTTGTTTCTCCCCAGGTGCAGGACTTTGCAGTTTCCTTTGTTGCACTTCATGAGGTCCCCTGCCAGCTCTTTTCTCCAGCTTGTGGAGGTCCCTCTGGGTGGCAGCACGACCCTCTGGTGTATCAGCCACTCCTCCCAGTTATCTGTCATCAGCAAATTTGTCCTTTGCCCCATCATTTGCAACAAATGAAGTTGTAGAACAGAATTGAACCAGTATTGGTTCTGGTGTACACCGGTAGTCACTGGGTTCCACCTTGCCTTCATGCCACTGATCACCCCAGTGTTCAGCCAGTCTTCAGTCTACCTCACCATCTGTGCATCCAACCCATACTTCCTCACCTTGTCTGTGGGGATATTATGGAAGGCACTGTCAAAGCCTTAATCAAGCCAAGGTGCACAATATCTGTTGCTCTCCTGTCATCTACCAAACTGTAGATTTCATTGTAGAAGGTTATTGAGTGGATCAAACGTTATTTCCCTTGTGTGAATTCCTGGTCACCTTCTTGTCTGTCACATGCCTGGGAACAGTTTGGATTATTTGCATCATCACCTTCCCAGAATCAAGGTGGGGCTGACTGTCATGTACTTCTCTGGGTCCCCCTTTTTCTGAAGAGTGGCATTTGCCTTCCTGTGCTCTTAGGCACCTCTCCCAGGTGACGTGGTTGTTCAAAGTGGCCTCACAATGACATCAGCCAGTTCCTTTATCACTTGCAGGTGCTTCCCACCAGGGCTGATGGACTTCTCCATGTCAAGTCTGCTTATTTATTCCCTGGTTAGATCATTTTCCATCAGGGGTACAACTTGTTTGCTCTTACTCTGGGGTTTCTGAAGGCTAATCTTGTTAGCAAAGACAGCATTTTCATGTCCTCTGTAACCAGGTCCCCTGTCTCATTGAGCAGTGGGTGCACATTTTCTCCTGTCTTCCACTTGTCACTCTCTAGTTTTCTTTGATATCCCTCATGAGATCCAACTTCAGCTGGGCTTTGGCTGACCTGCTGGTGTCTCTGCATTCTTGGACAATGTTGCTGTATTCCTCCCAGGTTACCTGTCTCCGCTCCGACCTTCTCTCTGCTTCCTTTTAATTACCACGTTTAGGAACTTATTGTTCATCCACTTGATGTCTTTTGGCTTTTTTCCCAGGCTAGTTAGGATAGGTTATTCTTAAATTTGGAGAGGAACTTTGGATATTAGCTGGCTTTCTTTAGCCCTTCCTTGCTACAGGGCCTAACTGCATGGGACTTTCCCAAGCAGATCCCTGAAGAGGCCAGGTCTGCTCTCCTGAAGTCCAGGGAGGTCCCTCTTTAGTTCTCTTCTTTGCTACTCTTGTGTGGTCTTCAGACTTCTCAGTGCCTTCACTTCCCACCTGTTCAGGAAAATTTTTTGTGCATGTCTGTGTCACTTGTGTGAGGATAAATAAATGAAAAAATAAGAAAGTGTTCAGAAGCTCTGAGGGGAGTTGGAGAATTCCCAGAAAGAAGTTGATTAAGAATCAGTTTCTTCCTAAATGCAGAGGCATCCTTTCAGTAGGAGTCAGATGTGATATATTAAGTATCATATAGTAAACATCCTAAAGATAAATGGTGTGATCATTTGAGCACTAATACTTTATTATGATTTACTGGAGAAAAAAACTCTGAATTCTTAGTGAAAGATGAATGATAAGACACGGGTAATACTTGGTTGCATAACAAGATATAAAAATGAAAATAATAAAATGTTATTTTTGGCTTATGAATTTCTGTGGTTTTATTTCTCACTATTACACTGACCTAATGAGAAATTCAAATTTTTGTGAAATGACTTTATAAACTTTTAATCCTTATAGTTTAAGAAATGTGTAGTTTTCTATGTTCAGTGGCATATTTTAAGAATTTAACATCTGAGAATAGAATTGAATCCACTGATTAAAAAGCAGAAAACATATAATTTAATGGAAATATCTGTTCTCAGTGTTTATGGGGTTATAACAGCACTTACTGTTTTCGTTTCTGTAGAAACCTTTCAGCTATTCAAGACAGAGAAATCTGTTGCTATTCTATTTCCTGTAAAGAGAAGGATAACATAGGTAAGCTTCTTCTAGTGTCATCAGTGTATGATGGGTTTGTACTTTGGATCAGATCAGGTTTGAACATCTACCTCCATTATATTATTGGAGGTCTCAATAGATCTCAATTTACATTGAAAGATATTTGGCAAATATTGTAGGCCACTGTATTTGTTTCAACATAGAATTATGTTTAATTAAGAAAACCTTGTAGAAATATTTAGGTCCATGAGAAGTTAATTTGACAGAGACCATGGAAAAGTGTATTTAAAGCCTGGAGTAATTAAATCCTTTACAAGAAACCTGTGTTACTTTTGAAGAAACAGTAGCTTTCTATGAAGGCCTTCCAATTATTAGGTGATCCTCAAAAAACTGTTGGGGATTTACTCCACACATGGTTTTATTTGGTAAGCAGGTTTTAGCAGGTTTGGTGAGCATGTCGCTGTTCCTCAAACTGAGGGATGGGTGCTTTTTCCAAGAGGAAATGCAATGAGTGTATCCTGTCATCAGTGAAGATCTATCTCCCTGTCTTCCATCTGCCTTTGCTTTTTGCCTTTTCCTCTCTCCCCTATCTTCCATTTTCCTGTCCCTTTGCTCTGTCATTTTCTCCCATTCCCTTCCCTCCTCAGGGCAGGAGGAAGGGATGAAGCACAGGCTGAGCTAGCAGCAGCAATTGTCTGGGGCTGTGCTACCTCTGTGCCACCCTTCTCTGCATGCTGCTGAAACAAGTCGTGCTGGGTGGGATGGGATCCAGCCTGGCTGGATATTTATAGCTGCTATGTGAGGAAACCAGACTTGATAGAAGAGCTGGGCAGCTCTGTAGGGCTCAGCTGAGTGAGGAACTGTGAGAGTGGGAATGGGAAGAAAGCCACTTTCTCTCAGCTGCAGGGGAAATTTCCATCCTCCACAGAGAGAACCAGGTAATGGAGATGGTGAGGAGACTGTACTGTGGCACCTGGACTTCACTGAGCTGTGTGCAGAGATGTGTTAGGCAGGAGGGCCTCTCCTGCAGCTGGTGTAGATGACTTGGGTGTGTTAGTTAGAAGGAGAGCAGACACATGTTGGCTGCAGCTTGGGGAGCAGCTGTTATCTCTGAGTGAGGAAGATTAGAGTTCAGGAGATAAGGACTGTAGAAGACAACACAGGATAATCTCAGTAGTTGAAGTACAGTGAATTTGATAGAGGTTTTTGAAATGCTGTGCTTGATCCTTATCAAATTGGCAAGGCTGCAATGGAGGTTCTTAAAAGTGGGATTGTGACTGGAAACTAGTAAAACCAGCTTAATTTCTGAAATACTATTGGAGAAAATAGATTTTGATCCTAGCCTGTTTATCTGGATGTCCTGGAGGAGAAAAGCATGCAACAAAATGCATCCTAAAATTTGCATGAAAGAATGATCATTAATGCAGAACAGTATAGATCCCTTACTTGTGGAAGTTCTGGGAGTAGTGATGAAAAAATCCTGAGACTTGGTCAGGTATCTTCCAGTGTAATATTGTGCCTAGAAAGACTAGATAGGTTCTTGAATATTTGCAAAAAACAAAATAAAGAATGGGAGCACACTGCGTGTACCATTTCAGATTGTGGGCATTGCTGGAGCACCATATGCCATATTTTGAGGAAGACCTTGAAAAAAGAGGTTGGGTGAGAAGCTAGGGACACCAAAGGGCTGGAAGGTACCATTTATAAAGAAAGACTGTTATGCTAGCTCATTAAAGTGATGAAACTACTAGTCTGTTAAGGAGAAGACTGGCAGCTGTCTTCTTCCTCTGTGTCCTTGGCTGATGCCAGCACAGTTGAATGAGATGATACTGGTTTTTCAGCGTGAACTGCAGCCTAGTTAACTGGTCTCATCAGGAGGTGTAGGTGTAAGGCTGCTAGTTACTGTGTCCTGAGAGACTGTGGAAGATAATTATATAGTTATTAGCTTTGATATAAGTGCAGTGGGTTGCTTTTTTCTGCAGTCTCAGAGCCTAAGCTGGTTTGCAAGGATATTCATGGAGTGCTGTCTTGAACTTAAGACAAATATGGCAACAAATTTCAATTTGAGGGCTAGAGCTGCTGCTGCCCCCTGACATCCTTCCTGCCTTCCTGACAGATGTTACTGCCTTGAGGCAAAAAAATCTAATCTGCTCATGAATCAGTTTGTGAACTGCTGCAGTTTTCAGCTCAATGCCTTGGATTGCATCAGGAGGGGTGCCAATTTCAGCTATCAAATTTTAGTCCAATGTTGCATGTCTTTCAGAGACCTTGGACTCCTACAACCTATCTAAATAGCTTCTTAATATATTGTCAGATGTTTGCCCTTCTCATTCCTCCTGTTTGTGTATTTGCCTTTGTTCTCACTTAGCATTCCATTCTAGTCTGGATTTTACAGTTTGTTTTATGGTCATCTTAAATCTTTGCTTTTTCAACAGTTCCTTATTTACCTATGGCTTAGAGAACTTGATGTCAGTCATTGTATTTCAAGAATACAAAATGCAGGTGATTTAAAAACATACAAAAATAACCAGAAAAGGACCACCTGGAGGTTGATGTTCTGAACTTCAACTATGTGTGAATGAGAACCTGTGGGTTTCTGGGTTTTGTTTGGTTGGAGTTTTTGTATTTGTATTAACCTGCTGGTGTTCTGTTGTGCTTCTACAGTCTGCAAACAGGCTGTTGAGTTTTTAATTTTGTTTCATCTATCCTGACAGACATAACATTACAATGGCTTATTCAGCACTCCAAATCAAGAAACTGTTGAAGAAACTTTTGCTGAAGATAACTCTTCCCCAATCACTTTGATTCCTATCACCTATACACACTGAAAAGATAAGGAATGCAACTGTCTACTACCAGGACTCACTGTGGTCATATTTGTTAACAGAAGTAATCTGACTTGCTGACTTGTAACTTGTCTGTCTGGTTTAGTTTTTTTTTTTTTTTTTTTTTTTGAATCCAGATATTTGTCTGCCTAGGTGAAATTCCTGAACGCCTTAATACAAGACTGGAAGAAATCAATAATTTTTTGAGCTGAAATGTTTTGAGTTTATGCATGCAAATTGTCAAATACATAGTACTTTTTTTCTAATTTGAAACTTAATAAATTGTGCAGTGGAAACAAATGACTTTTTTTTGAATGTAGCATATAATTATTCACACAGAATTTCTTCCCTCTGAACACATGTAGTTAAGTACATTCAATCAATTAAATCAATTAATCAATTAGAACTATAATTAAGAGCTTCTTATTTGAACAAAATGCTGATATTCAGAACACTTTCACATACTCTGGAGAAAAGTTATTTACAAAGTTATGTATCTGTAGTTAATTAGTTTTTCCAGTCACTAGTGTGAATTATTCATATGAATATTCTTTTGGAATTGAAAAATAAAATATTCTAGACAATCTTGTCCTTCTTTATTGGGAAAGGAAAGAGTCTGGAATTGTAGTGGGTATTTTTCTTTTTTAAACAGAGAGGGAAATAGCTGGTGAGATCATGTACATCTTCTCTGACGTTAATAACCCCCAAAATTCATGGATTTCCTAAGCATTGTTACTGTAAATGAAATGGTGTTTATGGACTACTCTGTCCATTCCTCAATCTTTAGAATTTTTGAGTATACAACATAAAATAGCTGGGATCTGAAGTAGGATTAGTCCTTTGGAAACAGATTAAAGAAGCAATTAACTTTTTAAATTTTGATGCTTCACAAGCATCTTACAGATACCTTCTTCCAAGTACTTCACTTAAAATGCACTCTGATGGGAACTTTTCTGTTAATATGGAAATTCTATTTACATATGGAAATTTCATCTCAAGGAACAGTAGACTCAGTGACCAAGTGTTTCAAGGACACTTGCAGATCTAAGAGGGAGAAATTCAGGTTTTCTAAAGATGCTGTAAATCAATCGATTGCTGTAGTATTGAAAGGGCTATAAGTTATGTATGCAGTTCTTGCACTTAAGTACATGAACTATAGAAATAGCAACTTTTTTCTCACTTCTATTTGAGAATGCTTTTAGGCTAGTGGCTCTGATAAGCTGCTAAGAACTTACAGCACAGACTTGATAAAATCTTTCTTGAGTGTTACAGGAATGCTACTACAGACATGGTAAATGTTACTGGCACTTGCTGATAATATCTGCAGTCTCACCTGTAGGACTGTGGCTACAGGGGCTCATTGTTCTGTGGTAACATGAAAATAATTTGGCCAAGTGCTGAGTGCTCAGTACATAAATAAGTGGTGGATGCTTCTGAAGGGATGGTGCATATGACCTTCCAAAACCTGACATGTAATCCATCTAGTGACAATTTGCATGATGAAAAAACAGCACTCGGTGGCAAAGGTGGTGAATTTCAAATGCTCTTGTTGCTCATGGACTTTTGAAGGAGTAGAGCCATTGTAAAATGCAATGGAATTGTACTCACTATGCATACAACACATGAGAAGAGCTACTTCTGCACCAGTGGTCTCAATATCATCCCTTTATCATGATTTTTGGCAGTAGCGCCTCATCCTTCAGAACAATCATCCTGGCATGGAAAGTCATGCTTCTGGCATAAGAGCTCCCCTTCACTGAATCACTCTTTATTCTGAACTTCTCTCACCCCTTGCTGCAGAAGGCTTGTGGGAGTGGACACAATTTCTTTGCAAGTTTATTGCAGTTGGTATAAAAGCAGTGCTGGCTCCTATCCTTCCCTTGCTTTGCTCAGTGTAATATTTCCTTGGGAGGTGACCAGTGAAGTAACCTTCCTCTGTGTGGTGCCATCAAGTACCAGTGCAACCTAAGAACAGCCTGTGAGGGAGGAGGTCAGGTTCCAGATTAGCCAAATGAATCTTTGGGAAAAAGAGGTGAAAATTATCAATTTTTAAATTAAAATTATCCCATTATGCATCATATGCTGATTTTTTTCCTCATTTCTCCTACTGTGTGACCTTGTATCCATACCTTAGGCAAATCAGCACAGGCACTGGTCTCACTGTTCCCGTTTCGAGCAGCCTCTCTGTTTTTCAACAATTTGTCTTCAAGTAATTTTTCAGAATGAGCTTAGCTGAAGATGTGTTTACTGTCACATCCAATAGCTTTGTGGGAAAGATGAATTGTCAATGACTGACAGCTCTGGCATCTTATTTCTGAAACTGTATTGCTGGGAAGGGTTACAGAGATCGAAACCACCAGAGAGATCATTGCACCAAAATTGTTTGGAGAGGTCACAAACATGCCAGCCAGGGAGCCTCTGTGCAGGCAGTGTCCCCTTGCTCAGGCAGCAATACATAATGTGGTGCATGGATCCACACTTGGTGTTTCAGAAGCAGAGACAAGAGACACTGCTTCCTGCTTCTCAGCACTCTGAGAAGGTGACTGACTGAGAGACAGAGCATCAGAAGCTGCTGTTGTGCTCTGGTTCTGCCTGGGAGGTGGTGAGTACCCTACTGTGCCCACCCAGCATGTGTGGTGCTGGTACTCTGATCTACATGCACAAAATCCTCCAGGCTCTGGGAAGAGAGCAGTGCTGGGGGATGTGGACTGACCTTCAGTTTAGGCACAGCTAGAAATCCCTCACCCTACAAGGTCAAGAACCCTAAAGTATTACAAATGTAACAGTGATACAGACGAGTTCCACTTCCTTTTTTTCCTTCTCCAAGCGTAGGAACAGTTCTGTCACCCAGGGTTATAAAGGACCACCAGGTGCCAACCATCTGTTTAACTTCCAGCATATTTTTTTTTTATTTATGAATTTTTTTTCCTGCTAGCGATGTAATTTCCCCCATATTTCTTCTCCACTTGCATTGTGTATTGTAGGAGGCAATCATGAACATAAAATTTTAGTTAAATGATATTAAAAAAAAACCCCAAAGTAAAGTTTTTAAAAAATGCACTATAAAACTTCTACATTTATTGCAGGGAGCAGTGACACATACATAATTTGTTCCTGAATAAGCTATTTTGTAAGATGCTGTTTTTTCAGTCACCTGAGCAGCATGTTAAATTGAATGCCTCTGTTCTTGCTTTAGGACAGGGTGTATGTGGCAGCTGTCACAAGACTTTTGAGCAGGTGATGGACCAAATACAAGAATTGTGTATAGTGACCTCAAAATTTTCAAGTTTGTGAAACAGAACAGGCTGTAGTTTTGGCTCGTGTCTTATCTGCCTCTGGCTGTGCCCCAGCCTGGTCAGTGTCATGCACACTGTGATCCTGCAAGGGCCAGCACAGCAAACCCTGCCTAACCCAGACCACAATGTCTTCACTTGAAGCCTGTAAGGGAGTGGGGTTTGGGAGAAGGGCTGGCTTCTGGTTGTTTTCTGCACTGTGGTTTCCAGGCCAGTTCATGCCTTGGAGTCAGTAAGTACCCATCTATAGAGTACACCTGTGCAGCATTTGTTCCTATGGATTTCTCTTACTCAAATGCCCTCAAAGAGCAGGACACATTTGCACATTTCCCTTCAAAGATCCCAGGGTACACTGACCAGAGCCTTAGTATGTCTTCATTATGGGCTTATGCTTGGGACCTAAGAAACAAACATACTCTTTTGTGGGGAATGCTTGTGAATCCAGTCTAGAGCCAGAGGTCAACAGCACAGAGTGTTTGATAGGGGACAAGGTATTGAAATCAAGTAAGTGTGAGGTGTCCTTACATCCTCCTTACTTCTGGAGAAGGATGGTTTTAAGATCTGTGGGGCAATGAATAATATCAATCATCATGTGACATCAAATAGGATATTACCAAATTTTATCCCTGACAAGAGATGGTGTTGCACTATGCAAATCAAATGATTCATGTCATCATGGACTACCCATCACTAGTAAATTAAAAGAACACAGTATTCCAGGTTCTCAGAAAATATGGTCATCTAAAAGCCTCAGGGCATGGAACAGGGTAAGCTACTTTTGGTTTCCTCCACTGCAGAAGAAATGGGAGATCTGTGAGGAGTCATACTCTGTTCCTTCAGCAGATACAGGGACTCCACAACAGACTGCAGACTGGATGCTTTAAGCAGAAGACTTTCCAGGTTACTTGTAACACACTGGCAATGGTGTCACTCTCCAAAGCAGCAAGCTCTGCCTTTCTCAGTTGGCCCCCTGCCACGACAGGCATTTTCTCCTGCAATTCAGACAAGTGACCTGGCAGCTGTCCATCCTGGCTTTAAACCTTTTCAGGAGCCGCTGTTTATTTCCATTCTCCCTACACTTTGCTTCCTGGTAAAATGGGCATAATTCAAAGAGTCTTCTCAGTGCTAAAATCATCTTGAAAGAAAACATCATATCCCATTTCTTGAGGACACTGTCTTCATTGCAGCATCACATCCCCAAGGACCCCAAGAAGAAAAGGGAATCTGGAACTGGGCTAACAAGAAAAGCTGAAGAGGAAATGCAATCCAAGTTGTATGGGCAATATAAGAAAACATGAATTTGTGGTGTGCTACCATCAGGGATAGTCCCTTCACTATTCTATTCACAGTTCTGCAAAGAACTGCAGCAGACAGTGGCAGCCCTTGAGTGCTGCATGCTTGGACAGTGTCCAAGCCCCTCACTTATCCCAACCTTTTCTCTACCTGTGTGGTTATATTTTTCTGGCCCTGGAATACTGCCTCTCTTGCCTTTTCAGGTGTGGCTGCTGAGCAGGTCTTCACCAACTCCTGGGGAAGGGCAGTAAGCTGATGCTGCCATAGTCCTGTGGCAGCTGAGGGGGTTGGCCAGCCCCCTCCTCAAGGCTCAATGCTTCTTGAGCCTTGCAGGCCTGATGGCTTGGGAATGAAAAAGGACAGGAAATGTGCAGCTCATGGCAGCCATCTGTGAGTCTCTGCTTTCCACTTGGAAAGGAGGGAGCAGGATAAGGAAGACTACTGCCCTGCTGTACAGTTTCTCCTTGATCAGTTGGGTGCCAGACTCTTTGTGACATGATTAGGTAATCCTCCTTGCAGGCACCTGGAAGTGC